TTACCAATTGCTGGAACGATAGGCTGAGTATTAACGGACGGAAGAGGAAATTTATCTTATTGAGAGCCAAGAGTTAAATAGTATATTCATGACAAAGGAAATATCATTAGCATCTGCTAGCTTTGATAGTTTAAGTGTAAAAAATTATGATAATCCATTTTTCGCATTCGACTTAGTAAAAATTTTGCTAGTCCACTTCCCTAGAGGAAGTGCTACTGAAATTCTTACTCTTTCACTAAAGTTTTCTGAATTTCATCTTTGCAAGGTCACTTTCTTCTCTAATTAAATTTTGGGCTTGGTGAAAATCTTCCTAGTTTATTTTCTTCGAGCAAGTGTTGCCGAAAGTTTCACTGATTGAAGGAGTTACACAAAATTTATCGTCGTGGCAAAGTTGAAACGATTTTATTTTTCATAGCAGAAGTGTTGGCAAGTTTTTCACAAATTCAGGGAGTTCATCGAATTATTGATGATGAAAATTTTAACAATCCTCTTTATCATGCTAACTTACATTTTCAACAACCTCTGATGCCGAACAGAAAAGGTGAGAAGCAGATTAGTACAGGACTTCTGTTATACTTTACATAGTGTGCCAAAATGGTTTAAAAGATATAGCCGCTTTAGCCACGTTAGGGTTGACAAATCCTATTTTAGTTATGTCTATTACTCTGTTTTCAAATGGCTTCAAGTCTGTGCCTGAGCGGAGACGAAACTCCACAGTAATAAAATAATTACGCACAGCTAACTAAATGCCATAAAGGCTGCCTGTACTCGGGCTTGGTTGGTCGTGATTTCTGTACGTACATTCTTACCACCAACGATAATGAGAAAAGTTCTACGATTTGATTCAACTAAGTTATGAAGATCTTTTTTTTTTCCTTCTATATAATCCTTGTTTCTTTGAAGCATCCTCCATTAGCAGGATTTTGCAGCAAATTTTCTCTCTTATTCGTTCCTCTTCGTTGCAGAGCTTATTTGTTAGCCTTAATAGGTGTAGCAACCAGCGTTAGTATGGGCTTGTACTACTTATACGATTTGTAAAAGTCACGTATTTTGAAACATCTAAAACATGAATTTTCTATAAACCAATGGATCATGAAAAATCTTTCAAGTATAGTAATTCCTCTTTGGTCTATACTCTGATGCAGGTCCGCATTCAATTGAGATCTCGACTAGCTCGACCTGATGTGTCGACGATAAACCATTTTCTGTTATCACTCATTAATAGGTCGGTTTGCGGTACAAGTAAACTTGCCTTTGCATCTCAGCCTAGTTTCTTCACCCCATAGGTTTCATATATTTCTCACAACTTTCAACCACACTTCTTTCTAAATGTGAAATCTTTGTTGTGGAATGGTGAAAAATGGTTGGGGCTCGTTTGTATAAGGCGCGGGGTGCAAGCCGGAGAGAATGGTAAATTGACTTAGTCTACGGCATGTGACTGTTGGTTTATGTAAGTGCACATGTGCATGAAAGCATAAAATTTTAAAGCGGCATAATTGTTATGATAGTTGAAATGTATTCGATGGACAAGCAGCACTGAAATTAATTTCTTTGATGCCGCACGACCTTACGCCTGAGCGATTCAACCAATTTATTTAGCGCGGCTGTTACGACCAAGGGCCTTACGCGCACATAGTTACCCGTGACACCCTCAACGAGACGTGCGAGACAGCGCACGAGACGCACGCATGAGCAACAACTTAGATGCCTTGTTGGTAATTGCTTGGTGGGTAGATGGATTTTGTCGATAAGGAGGTCCAGGTGCAGCTGGTTGGCACACACAACCTCTTGCCTTCAACATTGCTCCGCTTCCCAGGGTGCAGAAGAGGGTACAATGCACATTTCCATCCGTAAATGTCTAGCGTCAGCTGAACAACCCATGAAGAAGCTTGTTAGCCGACACTTGAATAATACAATCCTCGAAACCTTTGGGTCGCTTGGTCATAGGCACCACATACTACGCCATCACATTGAGGCTTCATGTTTTTGCACACGATTGATTGTTATGACAACGCTAACATCTCCACGTGAGCAATGAACAACACCAAAAAAAGTTATGGGTCGAATGGGGAAAAAAACCTAGTTGACTGACATAGGGTCATGTGCTTGGAAGATAAACTTCCTTAGTATCAATACGGGCACAGGTTTGATTCCAGGCTTTAACACACTCGCTCGAAACAGCACTGCTCCAACATGCTCTAGGCCCCAATTGCAAAACTCCTGCGTGACACGACTTCGCCGATCCCGTCAAGCCCGATGCGCTCGACAGCAGGGCAATGTTAATTGCTCACAGTCCACATACTTTTTGTCCACGTCCTTCAATCTTAAGGCTGAACGAGCAGGCAGAGAAGTTTTAAGGGTGCAGATTCTCCTAATGCTGTTGGTCAAACAAATCCAAACGAGGGGATGGCATCGAACATCACCTAGTTTTGTTTTCGAAACAGGCCATGATTGTCTGTCATGTTTCAATCACAAGCTACAGCTTACTGGATGATACCGCCGTATTGGTCAGATTGGTCATAATATACATGATTGTCTGTCATGTTTCAATCACAAGCTACAGCTTACTGGATGATACCACCGTACTGGTCAGATTGGTCATAATATAACCATATGCGCCAATATCCCCAAGCAGGTGCAGTCCACTCGTGAAAAAACAGAAGCACACACACCTGGAGTGCAGGTTTTGTGGCCATTCTCAAAGAGCGAGTGACAAGAGGGAGAAGAGGGAAAGGAGGGTAGAACTTGGCTTCAATTTGACCCGCAAGTCCACCCTAATCCCCTACAACGCTAGCACTCTCTCTCTCTCTCTCTCTCTGAACTGCAATGCATGTACACATCCCTTATGCATTTGAATGTATGCAGACACACAAGAGTGTCTTCGCTTCGGTTTTTCTGGTAACTCGGCTTCAATTTGACCCGCAAGTCCACCCTAATCCCCTACAACGCTAGCACTCTCTCTCTCTCTCTCTCTCTGAACTGCAATGCATGTACACATCCCTTATGCATTTGAATGTATGCAGACACACAAGAGTGTCTTTGCTTCGGTTTTTCTGGTACCCATTTCAATTGTTCTTGCAAACTCCCCTCTTACGGTGCCTCACATGTACAAGAATCCCCATTTTGATTGCGGTTCAGCTCGAGCTGTCCATATCTCCTCGTGCCATAACAGCCCACTTGCACACTACGAAAGGAGGAATAGAAAACGCGGAGGTGTACTCCTGTTCAATTTTCTGCGGATCTTCAGCTCATATTTTATGTTCCCTTAATGATGCTTTTAATGATGCTCTCATCCGTATGCATTTACCTCTTGTACAGACAAGGAGGAAATAGGATGTGGAGTTTGTCGCAGGGTTCTAAATACTCAAAGAGTGGACCAGACTCGTGAGGAGTTCCACACGAGGCCCGTCCATGTTTAGGTAGCATAAGATTTTGAGTTGAGCAGCAGTGGTTGCCTATGGTACGTATACACCCCTACAGACCGGACGGTTCAGGTGTGTTGATTGTGGAAGCACCTCGTCCAACTCTCCTGAGGCAACCAGAGTCCAAGTCTCCTTGCTTAACCCACCAGTACAAGCCCTCTCCAGCAAGACCTCTGGCATTGCAGACCACACTTTCAGTCTACCGGCCTGATGGAGACTTTTTCCACTCGTTCTGACAAGGAAGTTTGGCAATATAGGGTCTGCCATACTGTTGAAAAGAAGAACAGGCATTGACCACAAAGAAAGGATGCTCAAACATCCATCGGCATCCACGACAAAGAAAGGATGCTCAAACATCCATCGGCAGAAAGGATGCTCAAACATCCATCTGGGCCTTTATACAAAGTGTCACACACAACTCCCTAAATGACCCTAATGGAACCCTATGCTAACAAATCACACGCAAATTGCTGGGGGCTTTTACACTAACAAATCACATGCAGACAACAGTGCCTGTCAATGCATCTGACGAAACAAAAGTGCAACGATGATTTGAATTTGATTTCTTTATTTTGTTTTATTTTTTCTGGAGTACAGCCGAAATGCTTCGGATATGACTATGTCTGTTTCCAGCAAGGACGGTCACATGTGCGTGGTGGAGATGGGGGGTTTAAAACAGCAACTTTGTGAACAAACAAACATATACATGCAGCTTTTTGTTGCTCACCCAGGTTAGATGGTGTGTGTGCTCGCCTAGGTAGATTGTGTGTGTGCTCGCCTGGGCAGATTGTGTGTGCAAATAGGAATTGGAGTACACATATTGAGAATGGTGCCGAGCGTCTACAGTGCGAAATGCCTCAGATACAAGCCTAAGGCCTCTGCATTTTGGTGAGCCCTGCACTGCATCGCACTGGCAATCTTGGGCTCAGCAGTCCTTGGCCCAGTGTGCAGCTGTGGGTCAGCACCACCACCTTCAGGAGTCGGGGCCGCTGTCATGGGCACGCATGAAGCCACCGCAGCTGTCGTGCAGTTTTTGGAACTGAGAATGTGGAGGCCCCGACCGATGAAGGTCGCTGCACGTATACGGCCCAGCTTGAAAAAAAATGCTGGCCCAGTGTACACCCATGGGTCGGCACCATAATCTTCAGGCCTCGGGGGTATTCTTCATGGCCCAATGAACGAAGCCACTGCAACCGTCCTCCAGTTTTCGAAAGTGGGTTGTTGAAACTGCCCCAACCCACAAAGGTCACGGCCGTATACGGCACAGCTGGGAAAACATAGCTGGGCTGGGGGCTTAACTGCAAACCGCTGCAACGGCCATGCAGTTTTCAGAAGTGAAGCCACCGCCGAGCTTGAAAAAAAAAAACTCGGCTGGGGGGTGATGAATTTCACAGACAGGGTGATGAATTTCACAGACACGTCAACAGCGACAACACCTTTGGGCAATCTGGAAGTGAGTGATAAAAAAGAATGATTTCTTGAAAACAATAGTTTTCTCATGTGAACAGCAATGAACAGCACGACAACGCAAAAGCACAAATACCCGAAGCCATCGGATTTCCTACGAGACATCGGGAATCTCACTGTGGCCCGTGTTGAAAAACCAAAATTCACGGGCAAGACTGCCATGATGCTTATTCACCACCCACCCCGTTGCAGGTGAGTTAAATGGACTGAATGACAATTGCCATTCAAGAGTCGAAAGTCAATTGCAGAACACAGAGCAGCTAACAAAAAATGAGACCAGCGAGCTCGGTACGGTACACAGCGCATATGCACAAAATGCCAAAGCACTTTGCATGCCCTGTGTGCGTGTGGGCATGCCTCTTACATATGAGAAAAGGCAACCACACCTCGTTAAGTAGTTAAAAGAGGACAAGCTGCAATTATCGTTGTTGGGGAACACCACACCAATGAGAGGAGCGGAGGGTGGGTCCAGACCAAAAAAAAAAAAAAAAAAAAAAAAAAAAAAAAAAACCAGCACAGAAGTGAAAGATTAGAAACATGTGGAGCAAGCACGTAAATGCAACAGAAATCTACAAGAGAAAAAAGGACACACGAGCCGACGATAGCGAACACCAGCCACCTTCTCTCGCCAAGAAGCACAGCCATTATCTCTCGTTGTCATTGAATCAAAATCATACAAAGCAATGCTGATACAGAGGAAGGCAAATGTCTGTTCCATTGAGACCCACCAGTTCTTCCTCCATACACAATCCCGTCCTCCCCCATCATGTTCTGCCCCACTGAGCCATCCCACCAACATCTGCCTTCGCTGGAATTGTTTGAATCGTTTGCAACTGAGAGGCAACAACAGTGCCCCTTGGAGACTCTCAATCTCCTTCCACCTCTTCGTCCTCTCGCAATCGTTGTTTTATCAAATCTATAAACGTATGCGTATCCAGAATAGCCTGTACATTCATATACCACACAATTGCACACATGCAAGAAAAGTTGAAAAGAGCAAAATACACAAAGAGGGTGCACAATTATTCCCAAAGCAAGTCAACGCAACGCTGGTCCCTGCTGCTCTTTCTTCCTCTTCCTCTTCGTCTTCTTCTTCTTTTTCTCCTTTCGCTTCAATTTACCACCAAGGCGGAAATTTTCTCATGCCATCCACATATCGGGCCCCAGACCGATATGTGGGGACCACTTCGTCTTTCATGTGCATCATGATCCAGTTCATCATTCTTTTCTCCTTCAGGACATGCAACGGACATGCTGATCCAGTCTGTGTAATAATACTGTTATGTCCTGAAGAGTTTGGGCCTAGTTCAAACAGCATAAATGCAATTAACCCTAGTGTTCCTCTAGAGGGCAATATATACAATTCAGCCATCCAAAGACAAAGCCGTAGCCCGTTCTGCCGTTCTGAAGATGTTCGCGACCCACACTGATGGGATTTTAGGCAACTAAAAAAGTGAACGAAACGAGAGAAGTTTCTTCAAATGGTCTCTTTTGGTTTTCAATACGGTGAGGATGCACATGGCAAATGCATCACAAAGCTGACCTTCCAAAATGTATTAAGAGGGTGAAAGGTCACCCCAGGAAGATCGGCGTACGTATTGGCACCCCGAGGGTTCTAGGTGGGTTTTAAAGGGGGCTGGAAGATTGACGTACTTCGATCAAGATTTACAGAAATCCTATTTCCTAGTCCTTTTTCAGCTTTGTTACGAGTCTTAGGACCCTGCCGAGTTCTTGACGCAAAACTCAAAACTTGGGAGAAGCTGCTCATCCATTGCGAATCAAGAACTGGAATAAACAAACAAACATAACAGAATAAAGCAAAGAAGAAGAAGATGACGACCACAAGGAGGAAGAAGAAGAAGAAGAAGAAGAAGAAGAATAGGTGGTGAGCTCCAAACAGCCTTCTTAGAATACAGATGGCAGTAAACCTTGCACTTACCCTCTTCTTTCCTGGTGTAGGGTCCTTGACATCTTCTGACCATCTCTCAAAAACCTCCGGGCAAACAATCTGAAAGCCAAGTTGAGAAAAATCAGGTGAGGCGGTGAGACTGTGGGAACTGGATAAGGTATTTCCTTCAACTTTCTGTTTTATCAACGATCAAAGATTACACTTAACAGAAATACCAGATACTACACTTCGATCTTGTTTTATTTTGTTATTTTTGCGGTTTCACATCGCCAAAAGCATGGCTACCGCAGACCCGGACGCTGCACCGATCCTGACACACACAACCAGTCGGTCCGGATGGTCGGATGATCATGTCCAGATCGGTCCAGATATTAAAAAAAAAAAAAAACAGCAACAACTGGTAGGTCTCTTATGCATGTTGAATTCAGTTTCATCGTATAACCGCGACCACCAGTACTTCGCCCAGCTATCGGCCGCGGGACGATTCCCGTTAATGCACCGGTAGTTGCGCACTTCGGGGCACCGAACCACAATGGCTGGAAGCGCCAGCCAAAATGAAAACGAAACGGTGCCCCGGCGGCTTGGCAAAACTTGGCACGCAGCGGGTATCCGAGCTCGGCATCAATAGCTGCGCCAAGTACTGGTGGTTTACGGGGAAGTGTTGCAGGAAAACATAGCTGACATAGCTGTTGGCATATATGACAAATATGAATGATCATTCCTTGACATTCACTGTGCTGCCACAGTCACTGCAAAGCACAAACTGCTGCAAAGGGAACACAAAGAAAAAAAACCAAAAAAAGAGCACCCTGCAGAACACTTGAATAAAGGTAAATATTAAATAACGCTCAAAACTTGGGCAATTCAGAATTTTAAGTTCAAATTTCGAAGTCCAAGTTCTCTCTCTCTCTCTTGCATGTGTGCACCAGTCCACAACAGTAACAACGGCTCTCTCTCATTCTCCCTCTGTGTGTGTGTGCATGTGTGTGGAGGCGGCGGCGGGTGGGCGTAGATCCGCCCTTTCTTCCCTTTGTCACTGGGGAACCCTGCTCTGCCTCAAACATTCTCTACCCAGGATGCAAGTAGAAAAGGGCCCAATCCCGCCACCTTGTGCGGCTGATACCGGCCCGATAAATTATCAAAACATTTTTCAGGGAGCGTCCTGGACCCAAGGCACAGGTCTAGGGTGCCCCCCCTTTTTTTTTTTTTATAATTTGGGGGTTTGGGTCCCCATTTCGGACGGCCGTCTGGACACCTGCAGATGTCGGGATGGTAGCCATGGCACAAAGCCTTCTCCCCCTCCCCCCCCCACCACACATAGAACGAAACAGTTTGGCATTCAATGGTCATATTCGCTAACGGGTGACAGCCTTGAGATGTCCTTGTGGACCTGACCAGCCAAGCTTGTGGAACTGAACAGTCACCGATAATTCAGAAACTCTTTCAGAATGTCCACACCTTTTCTTTTGTGGTTGTGCAAAATAATTTCTAAGCTTTGGACCTTTTGCTTTTGTCTTCGGTGCAAGAACCCGCACTGACAGTCTTTTTTTACCATACACCGTTGGACGCACATCGTTTCAGCCCATGGCTCGCCCTGTTCTCCATGTTCGAATCCAGGTACACAGCAAACCCGATTTTCTTGCCCGCCATCCTGCCCCAGTACACCCAGTTCTCACGCCCGGCGTCCTGCTCCCCATGTTGAAATACAAGCACATATTTAAGCCCGTTACACCCAGTTCCCATGCGCATCACCCTGGTCCCCATGTTTAAATACAAGCACATAATTAAGCCGGTTTTCTTCCCCGTCGTACTGCCCCGCATGTTCAAATACAAGCACATAGTAAACCCCCTTCTCTTGCCCGTCCTCCCACTCCTCATGTTTGAATACAAGTGCATAGTTAACCTGGTTTTCTTGCAGGCACCAAGCTCGGTCATGCTCCCCGTTCTCAAATACGAGCACGTAGGGGTGCCGGTCAGATGGATGTGGAATGGTAAACATTATTTTTAGGTTTTCTTATTTTGGTGAGGGGGGGGGTGCGGGTCGGGTCAGGGAAGAGGTGCATAGCTATTTGAGCTTCTTCTTTCTGGGGGGGGAAGGAATGAGGGGTTGGGGGGTTAAGAGTTGTTTCCACCTCCCAGCCCACATACCGCCACGCGCCAGCCCACGTAGTACTACCTCACCGTGTCGGGAAAGGAATTGTGACTGATGTTGGGCGTTTCGTTTTTTTCTAAATGTGGGATTGCAACTGTTAGTACCATCCACTCCACATGGTATGGCCTGCCCCCCATAGCACTGCCCATTCCAATGGTGTCATCCAACCAACATGGCATCACAGAAGCCATAATCAACTCCACCAAAAAACCACGGCTCGGTCTCTGTTGATGAAATCCTGCCTGTTTTCCACCATGCCTGTTTTCTTTTCTTTTGCTTGAATGGAGCGAGGGTCGAAGGAGGGGGGCACGTCACATCCCCGTGTCTCATGAAAGAAGATCCCACCCTGCACAGCAGGCCTGGGCACGGAGTGTCAACTTGTTCAGATGAAAGGCGGGTATAGGTATAGGGTATAAGGCATAGCTGCAGCGCTGTGTCCCACATGTGTGGCGCATGCACGTGCATGTGTGCGGATCATGTGAGCCGCACCCTCGAAACTGGGGTTCTGTGAAAAAAATCAGGAGGGGTGGGCACAGTGGCACACCCTTTTATTTATTTATTTATTTTAAGAAAAAAGCCCAGGTTGTTGTAGAGGTGGGATCATGGAAACCCCCGGACATCCGGACAGGGTCCCAGACAGTCCGGTGTCCGGTCCCCATGTCCGGATGGAGGCCCCTGGGGTAAAAATAAAAAAAACAAATGGGGCGCCCCAGGACGTTTGTCAGGTCCTAGCCGCCCCTTGAAAAATAACGGGGTGATTTGTAAGTGTCCTTTCACCCCACCGGACATGGCCTAGAGGTCCAGACACAAGACACTGCAGGTTTTTGAGGTGGCGGATTTCGCACAGGCCCGAGCAATTTCAAAGCGGCCGTTTCGACGTGGCACCCGCTGCTGCTTTCCATGTCCGGATGGAGGCCCCTGGGGTAGAAATAAAAAAAAAACAGGACGTTTGTCAGGTCCTAGCCACCCCCCGGAAGACAACGGGGTGATTTTTAAGTGTCCTTTCACCCCACCGGACATGGCCGAGAGGTCCAGACACAAGACACTGCCATTTTTTGAGGTGGCGGGTTTCGCACAGGCCCGAGCAATTTCAAAGCAGCCGTTTCGACGTGGCGCCCGCCGCTGCTGCCCGTTGTGGGGAGAGAGAGAGAGAGAGAGAGAGAGAGAGCACTGACAGTGCTGCCAGTCTGAAAACTCACGTTCTGAATTGAACTGCAAAGTTCGAACTTTTAAATTATATATGAAGTTATGAACTTAGATTACTAAATCCGAAAGTTCAAAGTTCAAAGTCAAAGTTCAAAGTTAATCATACTTTTTTCCAAAAAAATTCTCTGTTTCTTTAGCCTTGTGCCTGCTTTGCACTGTTTGCAACTCTGCATGTCTGATAGTTAAATGTGCTGGTTGATTTGTTGCAAGACACGTGCTCTGCTGCCTGAACTACAGCTGTCTCTTATACACATCTAGATGTGTATAAGAGACAGGTCCGGATCACCAGACAGTCCGGACCGATCCAGACACTGGTCGGGAAGACAGTCAGGAAGTGTCCGGTGTCCGGGTCCGGGGTTACCATGGGTGGGATACTAGATGGATGGCAGTCACCCACAGTACTCGGCCACTCGGTTGTCCAGATGAGCCCCTCTGAAGACCCCACCCACCCTTCCTCTTATCTTTTTGCCCTGGCGCACCCCCACCCCCGCTGTCCTACCCCCGCTGTCCTACCCTAGTGTTAACCACCCAGGACCATCACCCATTGCCATCTTGGCCGGGTGACCTGACCAGACAGCGGTTGCTAAGCGGAGATGCCTACCCCCTGCTCATCCCTGGTTGAAGCAGACGTTGTGCAAGCCTGATCGCACGGGGACTTCAGGAGCGGTTTGAACATGCTACTACAGGTCTTCATGAGGGTGCACAGTGACTCCCATCTAGCTTAGTTGTGTGGTGATGATAGAGAGCTGGGCATCCTCCGTTCCCTCCTATGTCCCTGGAGCCCGCTCCGGCTATGACACCCACAACATGCCGTACTAAGGAACTGCTGTGCCAGCCCTATAATCTTGATGGTAGAGAGATGGGGATCCTCCGTTCCCTCGTATATCCCTGGAGCCCGTTCCGGCCCCCTTTAATTTATTTGTTGTTTCTTTTTCTTGTGCGCTTTGTGTTGCTTGGTATACACAACTCGCCAGGTACTTCTGCGACCCCTGACAATAAGGGATTGGCAACTGGAGGAAACACAATGTAGGGCCTTTTCGCCAGATCTAGCTCTGTTTGGCAGTCTTTCTTCCCGCTATGTTTTTCATGGTGTGTTTTGGTCCGATTTAGCACGTCTCTTGCTATTATGCAGTAGATGTGTGTGCAACCAGCACCTTCCCTATGCCTTACACGAGTCAGAAGACATGTGGCCCTTCTCAACTAACAGGAAAACGGATGTCCGTGATCCCAGACAACTAGGGTCCCGGACATCAGACCCAAAAGTCCATCCCATGTCTCCGGCCATCGGACACTTGGCACATAGGTTTGCCTCTCGTATTTTCTTATCCCATGTCTCCGGCCATCGGACACTTGGCACATAGGTTTGCCTCTCGTATTTTCTTATATCTATCTTCAACTCTGTAACGAATTCTGAACGAAGTGTCCTTTTAAACAAGGGGGGACGAGGGGGAGGGTCGAACTGCCATTAAAAACCATTTAATTCCCACTACCCCCATTGAATTTCTCAATTGAATCAATATTGGGGGAGCTCCCGCCATATTGTTTTCCAACGGATCGGGTCTGCGGGGGTTTCGGTATGTGGCCCAGCACCCCTGCACGATTCTGAGGTAACCCTCAATCAAAAGTTGTATGCACCTTCACATCGCTACTCGACAGAATTCCCAGTTTTTCTTTTTCTTTCTTTCTTGGAGGCCGCACCAGGCACAAAATTTGTACCAACGAGCACCAAGAAATTTGTGTTTTCTTATCTATTTTCAATTCCTCAAGGATATCCCTCAGCCAAAACTTGTATGCAACTTTCCAGTGCAATTCAAATTTATTCAACAGAGTTTTCAGTTTCTCTTTTCTTTTGCTTCAGGGCTGCGTTCGTTCGCCTGCAACCCCACCTGGGGGTCCGGGGCCGCTAGGCACGTCTCTGGACACAAAATCTGTGGCCAGGACAAACAGACTAGACAAATAATTAAACCCGCCAGCTTTTGTGTCGTGCGTATGGTTGTCAGCATGGCGGAACGTCCAAGCACCTACCCATCACTTTCTCCTCCCATTCACGCCCTAAGCCGTGAGCAACACGACCAACCAATTCTGACCAGGCCGGCTGCAAGGAAGTAGCCTCCACTTATTTGAGGCAGTGGCCAATCCAATCATCAACGTGCACAAATATCACTACACAAATACAAAGTGCCATCATCCCAGCAGCGGGGTAGGTGGAGGTGCAGTGACTGGCCATTGCTCTGCGCTAGCACTGCCGATTTCCCCTATCGACAATGCCTGCCCACCCCTCGTCATTGTGATGAGGGACTGGTACAGCCTTGCTCTCGCACCACTGCTGTGGTGCCAACCTACCCCGTGGGCTGGGGAGAGATCCGGGTTGGTTGGTGTTTCCCCGTACTACACAAACACTAGTGACAGGATGAGATAGATGAGTACTAGCAAAAAAAATGAGATAGATGAGATAAGAATATAGCTTTCGATAAATAAAAAAAAAAACATCTTTCGAAGTATGCGGTGGCAACCTTACGGCTCGAAGAGCAGACGCTTCACATCTGAATCCCACGAAGGCACGAAAGCGCGTAAGAATTTGACTGTCTTTGCGGATACCGCTAAATACATCAAAAGACTTCAAACCCAAGGTTTCCTCAAAGGGAATGAGCCAAAAAAAACAATTTCATTAAGGCAGAGTATGCATACCTTCGCTTCATATAAGTCAGAAAACAGAGTTCGTGCAAGGCCACGAGGTTCCCCAAGGCTGGAGAAATACTGCTGGACAGCAAACAGATCTGCACACGTTCCAATCAAATTACTAATCATCAGTACATGGTCCACCTCATAGACAAGTCCTGATCACCAGAACCACACAGCCGCAGATGAAAGAAAGCGCATTGCAGTTTTGAACTCAACATCAACAGCATGACGACACTGACTCGCTCACAACGGTTTCAAAACAAGATGAGATTGTTTTCGCTCACAACGGTTTCAACTTTCAACACAAGATGAGATTGTTTTCAATATTTTTACAACTCTTTTAGTCCTCGCACAGTTTTGAGCCCCCTCTTCCATCAGATTTCCGACGATCTGAAACCTTAATCACACTGCTCTCCACAGAATCCACACCTCGATTTAAAACAAAAAAATTGCGCCGGTCTTGAGATATATCCACAGGTGACCAGCCCCAAGCAATTCAAGATTATTATGGAAGTTGTTGCAGATTATATGTCATGATTATTGGTTATCGAGCTTCTGTTATGACAGGTATGTTGAGAGTTTCAAGCCTCAGGATCGTGAAAGTGAGGGTCTCAACGCTGATAGGCATCGTAATCGAGGCATGACTGTCAGCTATGATGATTTTGACAGAGAATTCAACTAAGAATTATTTTCTTGGGTGCCATCGGGAAATCTTACGGATCCCCATTATCTGCATATGGATTAATCTTTTTGAGAGCACACTTTGTATGGGCTTTTAGTCTTATGTTTCTATTCAGTGGGCGTGGTTATTGGCAAGAGCTTATTGAATCAATTGTATGGGCTCATAATAAGTTAAAAGTTGCTCCGCTGCTTTCCACACCTATGTTTTTCCTCTGGAGTTTTGTATCATAATTCGGATTTTTGTATGCCACTGGATTATGTGAATTAATCCAAAACAACTGCTAAGGTTCCATGGATTTCATTTCGACGAACTTCTCACAATCCATTTTTTTTTCTGCACCTTTTATTGATTGCGTAGGTTTTGAAGAACTATCGACGCCGACCAGGCATCGTCTTCGAATGCGGCAGAAGCGCTGGAGCGCCTTGTGCACTGCAATCTGGATCTAAATGTGTTTTTGTTCTCGACACAACCCCACTCCCTTCCCCCTGCACCTGCTTCAGTCTGCGTCCTGCACCGTTTGAAATCTGAAACTTTGACACATCAACAGTACGAGGAGTTTGGAAATCTGAGGGCAATATCATGGAACGAAGGGACTGGTATGGTAGGCCACACTGAACCAGGCATGCATGCGACCCTTGGACATCCATACTCTTTTGCCTTAAAGGTGTACAAAGGAGTGTCCTTTAGTTTGAACTTTGTATTCGAGGGAGAAGAAGAAGAGGATAGAGGAGGATGAAGAGGAACGAGAAGAGGAGGAAGAAGAGGAAGAAGAAGCAGAAGGAACGAGAGGAGGAAGAGGAGGGCAAGAGGAAAAAAACAAGAAGAAAAGAAGAAGAAGAAGAAGAAGAAGAAGAAGAAGAAGAAGAAGCAGTCCTTGGCCCAGCCGTTTCTTACAAAGCGCCACATAAATGGTTCCCTGATCATGCCATCCTCGTTGAACCAATGCCTTCTGCATTCCAGCAGGTGCTGCTCCCACCAATAAGACTGCAGCCTCCCTTCCAGGAGGGCTAGCAGTGGCTGCTCTTCTCACCACTGCTAGTCCTCCCAGAAGTAGTGTTAAAAAAAAAAAAAAAAAAAAAAAAAAAAACAAGAGAGAAACCGGGCATGGAAGTAGCTCAGCTCACTATGGTGCAGAACTTACATTCAAGTTGGTTGCCCTCTGCATTGCGACCACAAAATCTTGAAGAAGCAAACCTTGATAGCAAATCCTTGTAAAAAAGAATTCTTCCTCTCACCGTGGCCTGGTATTTTGAAGATTGTTGTTACGAACATGTGCCAACAAACACAGAAAATCAGACAAGGAATAAGTGTGAAGCATTAATAAATCACAAGGAAAACATATTACCCGGGTTTATGGACGCACTCCAGGACAACATAAACTCGTCATAGCCGAGCTTCTTAGGCGCTTCATACTCAGCAAATGTGCATCTCCATCATGGGCTTCCCCATACATCAACATTCCTCACATACCAGCCAAACAAATGAAAAGGGGGGGGGG